CACCTCGACTACTCCTGTCTGGGTTTGGGCGCTCCGGCAGTATTTCAGCCTTTGTGCTTCCAGGCATGGCACCCGGGTACTGAAGAGGTTTCACGGCTGAAAAAGTGTTTGCTTAGTACTATGTAGACCTAAGCTCTTAGATATTCTATCGTCCTTCAAAAGAGTTTTTACCGGTAGTATGGACAGTAAGTCCACAAATATTTTTCATTGTGGGTCGGTTTATCAGTTCCTTATGGCTCGGTTGACCGGAAGAAGAATACAGAAAAATCATAGTTCTTCCTTCGCTCTTCAGAGGAGGTGACAGTCAGCGGATGTGTGGTTAATAAAATGTTGAAGATGATAAATAAACAAATAAATAAATAATAAATAGTAGTATTAAATAAATAAGAGCAGCACGCTTTCGATGTCCCGCTTCCATGCTACTCTAAGGAACCGCGAGGAATGAAATGGCATTAGGCTGCCCAAGCCTAGACAGCAAGCGGGGTTGGGTTCAAACCACAGATCTTCCGGTCAGTAAGTTTGTGCCTTGGTCGCTGAACTATCCCGGGATCGAAAGGTGAATTTGTGATGTATTCAAGCTCAAGTCAGCCCTACTGTCGAAAATAAAACAGTAGGCATATGTTCTACTACATTTATCCACAAAGAGGAAGTTTTTAGTGAAGAGGAACGGGTTTACAGGTCATAAGTAGCATCTTTAGCGAACTACACTGATTTGCAAACTAATTTGGTGTTTCGAGAGACTCAGCTGAAACCCAGCCAACCCTCTCGTTTGTGTTGTTCTCAGGCAACTGAATGTGCTGCACCAGGCCGCCTCATGTTTCAGTCGCTACGATATTCGAGATATCGCGATACATGTACATCTTTGCAATGCACTACTCATAAGGTTGCTGAAAATACGTCTTCGTTTCAACAATGAGCCACACTGAGGAGTTTGTATTAATGTGACCTTCAACCCCACGGCAACCACAGTGACCTTCAAAATACTGTCAATTATTCATATGACTTTCCTCATCTGAATAGAGTTCAATAATACTCATCAACCGCTTGCACGTCTACATCAGGACTGCATTTGTGTTGCTTTTAATTTCAAGGCCAATCAAAACCCTGTTTATCGACCCAGAGTGATTGCTAGTTAGGATCGCTAGGTGGAACCAAAAAGTAACTGGTTGGATTGGAACAACCCGGGGTGCAAGTAACATTTGGTGCATTTTCTTCTCCTGGAAGGTAGGTTGACAAAGGACCTGAAGAAATCAGCATACACATTAAGAATCCCCCAACGTCGCTTTAGGTAATGGTCTCAAACATCTGGAAAAATGAGGTTGCGACTACCTGCTACTTTACGTATTTTGGAAGAGCAAAATTTGATGAAAAGCGATCTCTGAATCTCTAACATTGACCGCACACTTGTGAACACGCAAATGAAACATAATAGGGCCCATTGTTTTCGGTCCGGCAGGATGGAATCAAGCGTGGCATTTACAGAGACCAATCCATTGTTCCACTACCATCAAACCAAAGTTGTGACAAGCGATCGTTTGAATTATACTCACAGTAACACAATCGACCATTCAAACAGGTTATGAAGATGCGCGAGAGGAAAGGCGAAGATCAGCTGACGTAATACCTCACGTGACCGAATTCTGCATGCAACTACCTACTGAATTGACACGCCCACGCAAATAAGATAGCAATATGGAGATTAACCGCTCAGTGATCACATGAGAGCATTCATAGACAAATACGTGTTTTGTAACTTCAGGATTTCCTTCGGACGCTCAGTGAGTGAGAGGGAATTTGAAATAAAACTGACTTTAATCGAATTCGGAGAGTCGAGTAACATCTCTGTTGGCTCGATAGTGACATGACAAGATATCGGATTTTCATAAATGAAACTACGCACAAAGTTGCTGAAAACTCTTCGACAGCCCACGACCTGTTTCGCCCTTCTTGGGGCTCGTCAACTAGGCTCAGTCCCCGAGTTTCTGTCAACCCTATTGTTCAGCGCTTCTGTTTGTTGGGTTGAATCTCACCGTAGCAAGCCCAGACAAAGATAAAACGTTGGGAGCACACGTTTACCGTGAATAAGGATTCTTTGGTCAATGTGCTACAAAGCCTGCCTCAAACATCAAGTCCTTAGCTAATGGAATTTGCGAGATAGCGTTGTAGCTGAATAGTACTCTGTCCATTGATCCTCCATACTTTTTATTTTATGGTCTTTTGGGAAGATATTGGTCTTCAGTGGTACGTTGTTGCAGTATGCTCATTCACAAGGATGTTTTTAAAACTTGTAACTCTTCACCCTTGGGGTGTGGACCAAGCCTTTTCTGAATACTAGAGTAGTCCAAAGTGCAGACGTGAAAACCAAATTGATTGGTAAATGAGTGTATTTCTCGAAAAATATCAGATTGTACAATAATGATATTGGGATAGTCATGTTGAAAAGACACTGCGAAAAGTGAGTCGTTTTTGTTGAGTTTGCTCGAACGCCACATAGGGATTGCTAAATCAAAGACCAAGGTACTAAATCATTCAAGTACCACACTACCGATTGTGCCAATAAGTGTATCAACCGCGAGTGAGGTCAGGTGCATACTCTGCAACGACCATAGAGGTTCGTGGTTATATCAATCACAAATTTCTTGATGAATCTGTTTGTGGAATAATCTGGTCTTCACTGGAAGGCTTCTCTCCTTTCTCTGTTATTCGAACTACTGAACTCAGTCCGTATTGCCTCGTCCAGTACATTGGTGATAAAACACGAGATTCAGGTCGATAAACTTAACTTTTTTACAAAACTCGATGAAGAAAAGTACAACGGAAATCTTCATTCAGCATTTGTTGTTGGTCACTTTTGAATTTTTTGGTACCATGCTCCGGGCAGTCCACTGGCGCGACTTCCCTGCTCTTTAAGATGTTTTATTTGATGAATGCCCCAAGTCGCATTACTAATGAAATGTTATCCGATTCTTCCCCTTTTTCCCGCTCTTCTCTGATGGAAATTTTCCACGCTTACTCCCCAAACTCAAGTCTCCTTTCTTTGTACAGGGAAACAAATCTTCGCTTTGATCTACCTCATAAAGAGAATCCACGAAAGATCCTCCGGTGTGATTTCTGCCACTGAACATCTTCACTTTCTCCCACACCGTACCACAAGGCAGACTGAGAAACCTGGATTGCCCAACTAACAGTTTTTTATCAGCGAATATTGTTCCCTTACAGTTTTGATTCTGTAAGTTATGGTTATGGCTCTACGTCTCATGTGTAGTCTAGTGAACTAACACGATTTTTTCAGGTTAATCCGCCCCAAGCTTTGATAACTTTGACGGACCTGTTGTACACTCTTAACCTTCGAAAACAAGCTGACGGACCGGTTTTTGTTTTAATTCGGTGTGCTCCTTGTGGTAACCTCTCTCCATCCAGGCAACTGTCCATAAAAGTTTTTGGTCAGGCAAATTTCGTTGTCAGTCACTTGTTATTTCGGACACGAGTTCTGTGCTTTCCAGTTGGTTCTTATGTCAAGAACACTACTTATCAACAAGGGCTTGTTAGTAAAAAGAACCCCACAACTGTCACACCTTGAAACATCAACGGGTACAGCATTGAGTATCGCGCATACCGAGTGTCTCTCCGGGACAGTCATCTGTCCGATCAGAGAAGTGGCGTGCATAGGGTTTCGCACTCCATCATAACATCAAATGATATCTAAACAGTTTTGTGCAAACCAAATCGAAAGTGAAGCTAATTCAGATGGTTTTTCAAAATTCTGACGCCTTCCGGATGCAGCATTGGTAACCGGCATTCAGCCAATACGGGATCATGATTGGTTGTTGGGTCCAGGCGTTCGACCTCGGCCCGATGCTGGACCGGCAAGCGACCCGAACTTTTGGCCAGTCTTGCGCAGAATAGCAGCGTCTAACTGCAAGCGGGATCCCTGTGGAATTCTGTCTAACACTACCACACTTATGTATCGCCTTTTTCAAGCTCCGACAATGACGAATTAGTTCCATTCAACTAGGCTACTGACAAGAATCTTAAAACCTAGTCATGATCGTGAACTTTACTCCGTTCCTGTTGAAATAACCCCGTTTCATTGAACAATTCACCCTAACTTGTCTGATCCGTAACAGCGTTTCCCAAACTCACACAGTCGATGTAATTTCTAGATTTTATACACATCCGTTAAATATATGACCTTTTTCAGTTTCATGGATTCTGAGTTTGGAGAGAGAGTAGGGATATGCAAAATACGGTGGCCTTGAGGGCATTCCGTCCAAGATGGGGCCATACATAATGGATAACTTAGGCTGAGAAGACTACAACTGGCAGGCGATACGATACTTCCTTTGGTAAGCATAATCCGTGAGTGTGTGAAAAAAATATGAGGGGGGAATTTGTGAGTAAAATGTTTTGGAACTTACTCTCCCCCAGGGATAAGACGGATTCGGCAGTAGGAATTGCAAACAGCAGCCGTGGCAGTCGTTCCTATCAGACTACTTCGGGAAGTTAAATCTCGCGCAGCAAGAAGACTGACAATCAACTGGTCCTTGGATGAGTCCATAAATAATTTGAGCTGTAAAAAGAGTCGTTATAAAAGGTAAGTATTACCAGAGGACATAAATAAACGAAGCCTACAAAGTTGGGACTAACTGTTACGTCGTTTGGAGTCGGGAATGAAATATCCAAATTGCATGTAGTCTAGTCTAGGTTTGCTTAACCTGAGTCTGTTAGCAAATCTGAAAGTTGGTCACCCACCGCACATGTTGCGTAATAACTACTATTGTTACCAGAACGGAACTGTTAATTGTCTAAAAATTTCGTCTTAACTACGGACTGATCGTTTCTGGTCAATTCTCATATTCTGCTTATATTTGTTGTCACCACACGTTCAGCCACCAGACTGCATCGTGCTGAGTCCCTATTGATTTATCCTCGTTCCGCTCTCACGTGTGACTCCTATTGGTCGTTGCATTTCGTTATTTTTCTGCTCGATCGTGCATAACTGTTGGTTCCTATTGGTTATTCGGTTGAAGAGAAAGTCTCAGCCAATTCATGCCATTTTTCCGATGCATATAAAACGCCTTACTTCGCGGCGAAAAAGACCTGATCCTGTGCCCGACTTTGGCTTCTTCCTTACGCGAGTTGACGGGTTACCTCCGGACGACACAACAACCTGGCGACGGGGATGGGATCCGAACCCACGCGGGGAAGCCCCAATGGAAACCACAATGGCTAACAACATTCGGATCAATTATATATCTTATGCTGTGTTCGGAAGACTCTAATTTATATCACATTTCCTCTCAACCTGAAAGGTGAAAAGTGATATTTCATGATGAAAATATGTCTTGCTCCGTTTCCTTTTGCCAAACACACGGATAAATTGGGTGAAATCCCAGAGCATAAGGATAGGTCCCTGCACTCGAAAAGTAGTTCGGGGGCCAGTTCACTCGCGTTAGGCTGTCTTGGGGGTTCCGAAATTAGGGTTTGCAGTGTATGACAAGAAGTAGAATCGATCTACTGGTATGGAATTTCGGTGTCGAGCCCAAATCGTCCCCACCACCAAGGTACAAAGATCTCCACACATGGCTGACTTGTAGAGTGGACCAGGTCACATGTCAATTTGGCGAACTATGGGTAGGTCGGATGTGTTTACTGGTGGTTGATCAGATGTTAGTTGATCTGTCCGCCGAGCGTTTCGTCCCCAGTCGAGGAGACATCATCAGTGCGCTGAGTGACTCACTCAGCTGTGCACCGACTACGTCTCCTCGACTGGGGACGAAACGTTTGCCAGCCAGTTGCCAAGCTCGGCAAACAGATCAACTACCATCTGATCACCACCGCCAGGTCATTTGGTCACACTATCGGCCAAACTGCATGCCTCGAGTAATTTGTCCGGTGCGGATATTAGCCAACTTGCCAACTGACAACAATTCCTGAAATATTAAGCGAAGCCTGTAGGGAAGCACCTACCTGAACAGCAGGGCGCCATGAGTATCCCGATTTACTCAGACCCTCTTCGGAACGATACTTCGAATACAGGGGAACAGCTAGCTGCATTGATTGCGAGGTTGCTGTAAAAGAAGATAGACAATTTTCGAGAAATGCACTCATTTACCAATCAATTTGGTTTTCACGAGAGACTCAACTGAATCTCTCGTTTATTATATTCTACAAATGAATGTGCTACACATAGGCCAGCTCATGTTTCAGTTGGCACGATATTCGAAATATCGCAGTATATCTTCATAGAGGAAACTACTCACAAGGTTGCTGAAAACTCTTCGATAGCCCACGACCGGTTTCGCCCAAATTGGGGCTCATCAGACAGGCGCAGTCCCCGAGTTTCCGTCAACTTTATGTCCTACTTGAACCCGAATCGGGCTGTTTTCGAGAAATACACTCATTCACAAATCAACTTGATTTTCACAAGAGACTAAACTGAATCTCTTTTTTGGTCTGGTCGCACATAACCTCCTTAATTTATACCGACCTGTTTGATCGAGGTCGTTAGAATCATGCAACTTGTTACCGAACCGATTGAAGTGGCTAGTCTTCGGTCATGGGGTCACGTAATCAGAAAGCATCTCTTGGTGGCTAGCTGTTGAACTTTAAAGGACACTTGTTTCGCTTGGAAATGAGGTGGTCAAAGAGTTTTCAGCAACCTTGTGAGTAGTTTCCTTTATGAAGATATACAATTGTTTGGAGACATAAACGTGTTTGGTTGATCCCCATGGTGCGCCCGCGCACAATTTTTGAACGAAAATAGAACTGTACAGAACTGGGGAAATATTGTGCATGTCGCTTACTTCAGACTAAAGTTTTGTGTAGCACAACTCACCCCTTTACTTCATGGACAAAGAGCCGTCTTTCAGTATTGAAATCGTCAGCAAAATTGCTTTGCTAGTTGCACTGGAAACTTGGTTCCCCTTTGGGGAAACATACCTTTTCGTATGACAGATAGTTAACTGAGCTGATCCATTTGAAAGGCAAGGCCAAATAACTGTGAATGGCACTGCACTTTGTCATATTAATTTGAGCATACTTCATCCCTCGATCAATGTGTTCAGGGAGAGGCGTGAAACTTCGTCACATAACCTCAAAAAACCAAGAACTCGCTTGGAAAATCAGGAGGAACGACACCATAGGTATTGAGCTACTCATGTCAGAGCAACCCAGTTCCACGTCTCAGCATCCTGTCATTCAGTGGTGAACAGGATTCTGGTCATCAGAGGCACACTGCAGTGTATCCTCTACACGGTCGCAACTAATCAATTCCTGTGGATCCGCGAATTCTTGATTTTCTGAGGCTGTTTGCTCACCCCATCGAGGACATCGTTTTTCTCCTTAATTTGAAAAGTAAGACTCCAGCAAAAGTTGGATTTGACTACATACTGACTCGTGGACAAGCACCACGTCACGACACATTCTATTACATCAACCCTCCTAGAGTGACCATGTTTAACCAGTCCTGTTGGTGGTAGTTGTAAAGAGGCTTTCGCCCAAAGCGGAAATCCGAGGCATGAATGATCATATCGCCTAGCCGGCTCTCTTCACTAAGCTATCCGCTCTCGGATAAACAGTAAAAATAAAGGCATCAGAAAGATGTAGATATTTCCAAATTAACCCCAACTTTTTGCTTGTTTCGAATTTGTCTGTAAAATGTGGTGTAGTGTCCAAATTACGGCCTGACTACCATTCGTAACAAAAAGTGGCCAGTAACTAACCGTATAACCCTTCTTCCTGTTTTCAACCGACTGGATCAAGGTGAATCAATCGGAAAAATTCGAATATTAGCCCCAAATGGGTATAAATATTCCACGAAGTGTATGACAAAAACCAAGCTGTCCAGTCAATCAGATATTGACGGAAAGCCACCGAATTCTGGGGTTTTTAACGATTAGCTGTCACGTCGCCTTATGCCGCCTGTTTACCCTGATCTATAAACACGACTATTATGCTATTTAAAGGAACTCACGATTCGTATTTTCGTGGTACAACACACTACTAACAAAGTTGCTGAAAAGTTCGATAGTCTCCTACCGATTCGCCCTTCTTGGGGCTAATCATGGGCTGTAACCTTGGAGTTTTCATCAGTCTACTCAAACACAAAACTGTATGTAATTGGTGGAGTACACTCACTTTCAACTTAATTTGGAGTTGTAAGAACATCCAACTGAATTTCCGGTTTATACTACTCTTCAAGTGAATGTGCTGCACAAAGTCAGCTTTATATATCAAGATAATTTGCCAAGAAGATGTACTTTAAACGATTGTCAGGTAGGTTTCACAGAGCACACCTTCGTCCTCATGGTGTAGCTTAAGAGATTAGGACGTGCCACCGTCCGTTAATCTCATATGCTCAAAGGTAGTCCCCTCCCAAGGCGAACCAAGGAAATCACCAAGAAAACAATGAAAGAGTTTTTTTTCTTGAGGGTAGGTTGGCTATGAACAGTCTTTAGAGGGGTGGATGGCTTGACCACTAAAGGATACAGTCAAAATCTTCGAATGCGGAAGAAGTTTCACGTGGATAGAACGTCACGTCTCGCTTTGAATGACGCTGTCTTTAATTAAGGCACTGCATGCAATCAGTTGTTACAAATAGGCTCTTGAAACCCTTCGTAAAGCTGAAGCTTGTAGCTACCCGGTCACCCACACACTTGACTGTTCAGCTCACAGTCGCTCACTGGATCACGGGGCTTGTTTTTTTCTTATTCTCACGAATCACGTCACATTAAGCTGACTCATCGAACATCGATTGTCTGCACCGCCTAGTGAGCGTAGCAACTACTCATGCGCTGACGCACCCATGTACGCGCAAACGGACCTACATATAGGGAAACCGAACACAGTCAGTACACACAGACTCGCGCGCGCGCAGGGAGCAGGAAGTCAACCTTTCCATAAGTCCACGGACAAGTATGGAACACAGTGCGGAGAAAAACACGTTCCCGCCGTCCGGACTTTCACCAACGGACTCTAGCATACGATAAGTTCCCTTTTGACTTGCTCCACATCTTACATTGCCTTTATTTAACACATGCTGCAAATCGCTTCTGTAAACGACTGTCAACCACAGCAAAGATTGTTATTAGTGCACATACCTTTTGAGTTTTATTATGGCTATCATCAACAGTGCACTAATAAGCTTATCCAGGAGAGGCTAGCCCCTTCACGTGATCTCTCCATTGCGGGACGATTGAAGGAGTGTCATGCAAAAGAAATGAAGTTTTGAAGCCCCAACGGTCAGCGGAACAAACCCGGTTGTAATATAGTTAGCTAGGTATATATACTGGTGAAGAGAAGGCCTCTGCTGCGGATTTATTTGTTACAGACTATTGGACAGGGAAGCAAAACTCTCATATGCATCTTGTTTACAAAACTGAATATCCATCTTCTCTTCGAACGCATCTTTCTGAACTTCCTGGATATTCATTGACTGTTGCTCAATTGCAAGCAAATGGTACAGAGCGACTCCACAAATTCCGTAATAAAATCTCACTGTTCAAGAGACGCAGTGTATTTACGAGAAAACATACTACTCGCACGCCCACCCATCAGTAGTATCACTGTTACACTGGTAGCGAAATATGGGAGAACCTAGTGCATAAGCTTCGCATCCTGATCTCTTTCAGGAGAGGAATTTGTGTCTGGACGTTGTTGGCTGGATGTAGCTTACTGCTGTGTCACCTTTAGTTAGCTGGACATTATACACTAAAAACCACTATTTTTACCAGCGTTTAGGAGTTGAGTATACGGAAGGATTTTACTCAGAAATTAACATAATGAGCTAGCAAAAATGTGGGGGCCTAAAAAAGCGAGAAGATGGCCAACTTACTTGTGCCAAAGTCTTCTTCGACAAAACCTGGGGTTTCCCTAAAAAGCACCAGAAAGGCGATAGTAAGTACGCATGATGCACACTTCGACAAGGATGAATCTGGTGTTTAGAGAAAACGAATCGAGAAACTGTGTGGTGTAAGAGATCAGTGATTGTACGGATGCCATTGGAATCAGCAGTTTACGGAGGTTAATCGGTCGTTGTGCGACACTGATTCACCTACTGCCAGCATTCAATTTGAACCGCTTGATTACGGAGATTGCGTTCAACGTGGGAGAGCTTAGAAATCAGGTTGACCAGTAAATGGCAAACGTTTGAAAGTGGAACTAAACAATACAAAATTAACCAGCTGATCAGGAGGGGTGGACGTGACTAAATCAGCTGACTGACTGGGGGAGGTAAACGAGCTAGTTTCATCTCCCCACATCAGATGCACTGTTTGTGTAGTAGACAACAGGAACTTACTCCAAGTCACGTTGGACGATAAGTTCAACCTGAGTATCGTTTTTAGATTCATTCACAATTTGAGAAACTTCATCCGTTGTTAAATCCCTCAGCGAGTGTCCATTCCAGTCTAGAATTTCGTCTCCCGGACGAAGTTGTCCGATGACGTCTGCGGAGCTTCCAGATTTTACGCGTGAAATAAAAGTGGCCAAACGACCTGAGGTAGATTTGCGACCCCCACTCAATTTGATACCTGTACGGTTCGAGGGAAAGCATAGATCAAACAGTAACGGAGCGTAGCATCAGCTGGCAGAATAAAATCTTTTAAGGTTTGTTAACCCTTCCACTCTTTCCAAGACGCATGCATAACGACTCCCAGCGATTTCAAATAAATGACCTAACCTGGTCGATTTCCCAATCAGTCCTTTGATGCTCCATCCTCTAGGATAAAGAAGCGGATTCGCTGAAAGTAGTTCAGTATGTCTGAGCAACCGATACTTGAAATCTTCAGACTTAAAGACTGAATTATCTTCAGGTTGTTGGCCGCATTCCCACGCAAACCGATAGTCTGACCTTGTTACCTACGGCTGTGGAACGCAATCACAGTGGTGTGGGAATTCGCTTTCAGTATGGTGGCTAGTTGTACAAAAAAAAGAACCCAGTTGGTCCATTGGGTGCCACATAAGTAATGACCAAGTTGTGTTTGTTTCACGCCTTGAAGAGTGAAGTTACTTCTGCTGGTTCGGGGGATTCCCCAAATGGCATTGTATTCTCCAGCGAATGACCCGTTGGTTGCATATAAATCAATTTACTTATGTCTAGCGTTTTTACCAGAAGAAAACTGGGAAAAGCAAGTCAAAACACGAAGTTCTGACGTTTTATTGCCGTGGAACGCGCGAAAACTCAACTAATATCAGGTTGCGTAACAGCCACTACTCGATGCCCTCAATTATAAAGAGACCTGATTTACAACCAGCCTTTTGTCACGTGATTCTAAGACAATCTGTGCTGCACAGCTGTTTACATCCTTCATATGACTAAGCAATGACGCATCTGTCACTAGTTGTGCAGGATCGGAATACGAAGAGATGTGAAAAGAGATGAGGAACGGGTTCGCAATGTTGAACGCTTGATCAATCCATCAAGAAACGGAAGGAACTGTGGGACGCCGAAGTTGTAGGTTTTTCCCCACCACTGTTTCCCCAGCGCTGCTTCCACTGAACTGTTTGCAAGATCAAACGTACAACCGGCGTTGGTTGTGCAGTCACCATGTGCAGCGTCACGTTCTGAATTCAGCCGACGTACATCCCGACGAACCGTCGGTCATACCGCCGTCTTGTCGATATTAATTACTTGTTGGTTAGGTAGGACTATTCTAGTCGAACGGGAAACACGTCCTAATGTCCTCTCTCCCTACGATAGCAACTTCTCAGGAAAAATTTTGCCTCGTCTGAAAGTGGACTGGGATGGGGTAAACCGATGAATTCGAAAGAAAAGAACGCGCCTGCGTCTTCGTTAGCCCAGTCGACAGAACACACTCTGACAGGCGGTGATTGGTGTTCATCCTGAGGGGTGTCCTCTCGTTCACGCCGCCCTGCCCCCGAACTTGTCCTTTCCAAGTTTGCTTCAGTTCTTCTCAGAGACATTCAATGGGCATGCTCGAGTTTAAACTTTGGTGGATATTTGATCATTAAACAGACTTGTCGCCTAGAGACAAATATCATTCGGGTCCATCAACGGCGACATGACTAGGATTTTCTGCAAAATGAGGCTACGAAAAAAACCCCAAGGAAAGTAAATTGGCCTTTCTTACGATTTCCGCGTACAGTTTTATTGGGCGGCGTATCGATCCTGATCTGAGTGCGCTTAGTAAGGGCTGGGCATCGGAATAGCGCCTAAAGTACAGCGGCCAAGTTGACCAGATGTTGGCATTCGTTTTAGCCTTCTAAGTGAGAACGGCGGAGAGCGCGAGGGAGCGGATGTGAACACACACGTACACACACACACACACAGAGCAACAGTAAGACGGCGAAGAAGCAGAGAGACGCGCGTTTGTGATCGTCAGTTCACCTCGTGCAAGAGCCTGATTGGCTATCAGCCCATAGCTATCGATCGACCCAACTGTCCCACTCACCACTGCTCTAGCTGCTACTACTGGCTGTCGATGTTCCAGAACGGAGATCTGCAGACGGAACTGGGAGGTATGCGTGTTTGTGAGAGAGTTGGGAAACCGATTAGGATCGATGGCTTCTTATGGAAATCTCAGTACATCCGAAAACGAAAACGATCGTTGCAGCATACAAGTACAAGCTGGTGCAAGTTCCATGTGCTTTTTTATCACACCCGAGAAGTTGGAGCTGTGGACAGGCTTATTGGAGTTGTATGTACGCATGTGACACAGTCAATCATTATGGAGAGAAAATCTCGAAAGGGGTGACAGAAAAATGCTCGAAAAGAGAATCCACCCCGTGAAAATGATGTTTACATTGGGCTAGCTGGTCATCTTCACGATATATTGTTGTGGGAGGCAGAGGCCATGCATCAGAGGTGCACTTTGACAAAGCGCGACTTCGGACAACTACTGATTAACTATAGTGATTGAGTTGCTGAGCTTTGTGTGACTGGGTTACATTGGTTCCCGTTGGAAAATAGGAGATGTAGCAAATCGACCTTGGTCTCCATACTTACTCTCAGAAAGGATTCTGTCGAGTAGACCATCTCCAGACACACGGAACACGTGGCCTAAACGGTGCGGTCCATCGAGGGGTTCTTCCTCCCCGCCTTTCTTGTTTCGTCTTGGGCGTAAACCGCTCTTTGACTTTGTTGTCGCACGTAATGTTTAAATCCTTCACATGGCTATCGCCATCTGACCACTTGCCGTAAGTCGGTCTGAACTTTGGGATCCCACAATTTGATTTTTTTGGTGGCCCAACAGATTACTGGAAATAATCAATACTGACGCACCTCAGTATTGATCGTTTGGCTGCGGCGATTTTCCGGAGGCGTAAGTGGTTAAACATCCAAAACCTTAGGTTTTCTGAATGTACTAGACATGTCTATTGTCTGTAAGAATCGGTTTAAGATAGTCAGATTGACTGTCCAAGTTTGGGAAACAACCACGTTCATTGCCAGATCATTGGAAATCACGCCACTGAGAAGATCGAATCATTTTTCGCCAAATCACCTACAAACGGGCGCCCAATCCAAATCGATAGCGGAGGAATGCATGCCGAACCATGCGGACAAACTAACGAGGTAGTGAAAGTACTTTTTGGATTTGGAAAGTCTGACCGCCAGTGAGTTTGAGTAACATCCTGGAGGTATTCTCCCCTGCCGAATACTTTAGAGGAAGGTCAAGCGGATACAACTGTAAGCAATGCAGTTGATGAGGAAGCGTCGGAAAGTACGATCGTGTCTGGCACCAGTAGATGGCGAAAACGTGGGTAAAAGCCAACTGTACACCTGTACGTATCCACGGCAGCTAGCGGATGGAACCGTCTCAGGAGAAAGTGGGGAGGAATGCCAAAAAAATGACAGTTTACAGGGGACAATTCAGTCAAAAGCAATGTGAAATCGCTCGCTAGAATAGACGATGCTGTTCAAGATCCAAGTGCAAAGGGAGGATTCGGTTAGTGCACCATCTTGAGGAATAAACCTAAGGTTACGAAAGCGATGACGCAAAGCGGCGTCACTTTCTGTAAAATGAACTGAGCTGAGTAGATGCTAGATTGTAAACCACTGCTCGTCTTGCTTTATCGGAGGCGAGATGGCCAAAGTGGTCAGAGCGCGAATTTACTGACCGGAAGGTCCGTGGTTCGAACCCGATCTGCGTCTCTCGACTTTCTCTGTCTAGGCTTGGGCAACCTGGCAGTATCCAAGCCCTCGTGCTTCCTGCGGGTGGCATGGCAGTTAGTACCGAAAGGGTGCTACAGCTTGACGATCGGAGTTTTTCAAAATATACGCGCGATCGAATGCGAACCTTGTATAAAAAACGATGATGGCTGCCGATATGGCCAGGCGATCGTATATACGGGGGGGGGAGGGTTCGGGTCAACAGCGTAGGGATATGTGGTTGGACATTTTGTTGAAGTAATACACTACTCATAATGTTGCTGAAAACTCTTCAACGTTTGTTTTTCTTACCCTCTAAACGTCGAAGAGTAGTGTGTCAGTTCTACAAAATATCCCTCATGTTCATAGTAGGGCCCGGAGGTCGTATTCAAAAGTGGCGCTCAGAATCTTGAAACGTGCGTAGAAATGCTCATCCAGAGATGCAGGACTTAAAAACCAATGTGGACGAGGAAAAAACTTGCTCACCGAGTATAGATCCAACATCTGCTGAATTTCGATCCGCCTGCTTGCGTAAAAGCATATGTCCAATCAGCCTTCTGCCGTCCCTGGATGGATTCCAGGTTACTGGTTGTGTCTGTGATGGGAAAAATAGGGGACATCCAGAGTGCCGGCTGACAACTGCACGTAAGTGAATTCGTAGCATGAAATGGATAATTAATTTGAAAGAAAACAGTGACCAACGGTCCAGGGATAGCATCCGTTTGCCATGTAACCTGGACAGCATCGATGGCCGACTCGCGATGGAGAATAAATCGAGTAGGACCTGGCAACGGACCCTTGTACGGCTGTGTATACCATATCAACTTTGTTTCAAACTTCGTTTCCAAAGGATATGATCTATAGTAGTCAAAATAGGTAGCAACAGCTTAAAAAGAATGAGTAGTCACGTGAACGACAACAAACTGGGAACTTACTTCTGTCATCCGTTGTCGATCGATTGAGACGCCACCGATGTTCGGGCTTCGTAAAGACACTACAAAGAGGAGAACAGACTCACTTATGTATAAGGGTGTAAAGTGATAAAATGGTCTATTCCAGATTAGGCAGGCAGTCAGAAACACCGTTCTCTGGTTGGAAACAGGAGGCACAAACACACTGTGGATGGAACGATTGGTGTGCAATTGATAGACTGAAGAGAGATATTCAAACGTTGCTCAAACTTGCAAATGACAAGGACGAAGTCCTGTTCTTGAGATTGCCCCCTTCTTACCTGCTGTGATAAGTAGGATGTGAGGACATCTTTCTCTTAGAGACTAGAAGACCAACTGCCCCGCAAAGGTACATTCCTCCGATAGTTGGAATTCGGAACTCTGCCCGGTGGTAGCAAAAACAAATCATGGTTGACCGTGCAGTGAGCACAAATCTCTCAACAAGGACCCCCATATTACTTGGGGGAACGCTGGCCAACTGTGAGTTTTGTTGCGAATGCTATTATGCGCGTACTTTATGCGATCAGTGCTTGTGGATTTTGATTGAAGGCATATTTAGCAATGGAGCACACACTTCATCCAGGCCTATCACCCAATCACTCTCCAGCAAGCGTCACTCATTCATGAAGGCCTACATAAACCCGAACCACATCTCGTAATTTTTTTGTTTCACCGCCTAGTTGTAATCGAAATCGCAACGACCCACTTCGGCCATACGTATGAGCTTTTGGGAGGAGAGGGACAAAGCAGACTGGTCGATTTGATCAGCCGTTTTCCATCCCCACTCAGCATTGTCCCGAGAACGAAGCTCCTGTTCAGGGGCTTGCTTCCAACCCGAGTGATGCCACAGGTCACTGTGGCTCCCCAGTTTATTCTTGTCCGCACTTGTCTCGAACACCTACGGTGCAGGCGTGAGCAGGGCAGCCCAACTGTGTGAGCCAAATGTGGTGGGGGTAGGGGTGGGACTAGCGGTGGTCCGCCGTCGGCCCCGGTGCACATCAAGAATGGAGAGAACCAATTCACTGCGCCGTGGCAAAATTAAGTAGGGTATCGGTTAAACTGATCAGGACCAGCGGTGAAGCACGGCCGGAAACGGTTCAATGGTGGCATATTTCACGGCATTTTGAAAACTTCAGTAAAATTGACATCGACATCCTTGCGAAAAAATCCTAGGGTAATCATTCAACAAGATGGATAAAGAGTGAGATCAGTAGTGGTTAACAGGAAAGAGTTAATTTCTTCAGGAATGCTTATCGTTTGGTCCTTCAAACGGAGCTCCTGTGTTGTGGTAATGAAGCCGAAGCTGAGGGACTAGTTGAGGGTCACGATTTTATCCGGCCCCCATTTGGTTGATCAGCGAGTGTTATTCAATCGAACTGATGATGATTCTGAACATCTGAGCCCTAGCACTGAGTGAAATTGCCGAACTTGTCGAGGACAGTCAGTTGCGCTGTGATAACCGCAAGTTTTATTCGGCTGAACGGGAATTCACCATCGGATTGATGACGCTAATGCGTCCATGTGTTAACGCTGCCTTGCAAACAGATACAAAAAAGACCAGCTGAAGATCTATATTACTTACTGTCATGCCCAGGCATAATCATTGCACGCAAATCGCTTCCGGCAGTAGATCGTTCAGATTCGCTGTATGTATCTGATGGATAGGACAGATGTTGTCTACCCGTGACACGTTCCTTGAGTAAACCTGGGGCTCGACCATAGGGCATGTCACGTTCCTCATCGTAAATCCTTTCTCCGTAAAATTCTCCCTCCATTACTTCCTCCTCTGGAGCATAGCTGGGCGGCAACTTGCGAGATGCGTGTAGCCTGTCGGACGGGTGTTCGCGATAAACACCCAGGAATTCATCACCTTCCGAGCTGCTGTAGGAATATTGTCGTGGAACGCCAGGGGAGTCTTGATCGTATCGGGTTTGTTCAATAAAGGAATCTAAATGGGGAAATTCGCAACCAGCGGAACTAATATGAAGTAGGCAACAACTTGGCTATGAGAAGTACATGGCTCTATAGACGTAATATACTACTCATAGGGTTGGTGAAAAACAGCCCATGACCAGCTTCGCCCTTCTTGGGGCTCATCAGTTTTACTTGAACCCAAATTGGCTCCCAGGTTCTCCTCACTTCCGAAAGCCACTGATGTAGGCTTAAATCATCAAGATTCTGTTGACAAGATAAAACATGGGACCTGGGTCGTGTTTTTCATCACCCCCTGACCTGAAATTTGTTCGTTTACAGATCGGTAAGTCAGTGATCAGTGTTCATGAATCTATCTAGGCTTGGGCGACCTAACAGTATCCCAGTCCTCGTGCTCCTTTTGGGTGGCCTGGCAGCTAGGCACCGAAACGGTGCTACAGCTGAACGATTATTATTATTTATTATTCATTATTATATCCGCGTCAAGAGGCTGGACCCGTCAATAAGTCACACGATGCGCACTGTGGACTGGTTATCAAAAGCAAAGTAAAGAAAAGCGGTGTATGCAGACAATGCAGGGCAAGTCGAGAGTTTTCCTCAAAGACTACCCACTCGTTCTCAGATTGGGTTTGGTCGAATTTCAAAGAGGAACAACTGAAATTTGATATTTCCCGTCTTTCGGTCTCTATTGAGTATGGTAAACACCGAGAGAAGCAACATCGTTATAGGGATTTTGAGGGCGATAGGCATTTTTTCTACACAAAAAAAGCATAAGAAAGAATTTTAAAAAGAACTACTGGGTGCACTTACCTTCTCGGATATCTCTATCCCGCATTGATCGTGGTGAGTAACTTAAAGGAGCCCCAATCGGAAGTTGATACATGGGCGGTACAAAAGTACCTGCCTCTGTGCCATACTCACTATCTGATCGTCCACCAACAGATGGCCTGGATAGCATTGGGGATCTCTGGGGGTATCCACCCCAGCTGGCTAGACTTCCCGTACGTCTGGGAGAATCAGAATGCTCTGAGGTCAGAGAGTCGGCATAATACTGGCGGGAAGTATCGTAACGCTTGGAATAGTTCGGCCCAGGACGGGGAACATCACTTGAGGGGCCTGATCTCCTCTGAAGGTGCATATTTTGATACGGTGAATATTGTCCATACTTGGGCTGACTCCGTGGACTCGATAGTGGTACTCCGGAGTGATACTGAGGTCTGCTCCCTTCGGTACTTTGCCTTGAATCGAATACAGAGAAGAGTAATGATGATAGTTCAGCAATGCACTACGGCTATCCGGGAATGCTCACGACACAGGCGGAGGAATCTAGCATCTTGTGTGCATCAAATTTTTTATCTGCTACAGAAATCTGAAGCTCAATGGTGCCAAGTTTAAAATGCCACTCGACTGGATTCATGATTTGAGAGTCGTGTAAAGGTCGGGGAAGTTGGGCTGATAAGATTTTGCGTAAAACCCGGGGTGACACTTAGCGGTTTCTCTCGACGATCGGGCGGTCTTGGAATCTTTTGATAATAGGCTTTCGCGGCAAGCCTCCTAGCCCCAGTCCGATCTTGATTCATCGGAAGTAACTGAGCCATGATCCTATAAGCTTTGTCGATGAAGCTTGCCCAACGTTCCAGTAACATAGATCTGAATATCAACGTAGAAGAAACTGTCCCCCCATTTAGACATAATGATCACACGCAGGCGTATCGTTTACAGAATATCCCCACGCTCCGGACATTTCCCACTCCGTTCTCACAACCACCTCGATTTCGCACATCAGGCTTAATTCAAGCCAAACTAGAGCTGCTCATAGATACACTGGGTTGAAATGGATATCCTGAACAGTCCATCAAGCGAAAACTTCCAGTGTTTTCATTCAACCCCCCTTCAACTGTTCGGATCACCGTAACCTTAGTGAAAGCACTAAAAAGTGCTGTGGAGAGCCGGATCCAAAACGCTATCCATGAGTTACCGGTACATTCAACTTAGGGAGAGAAATCCATTGGGATCGATTTGTTCCCACGTGACCGCGAACGAAGATGCATGGACAGAATCAATAAGTGTCTCAGTGACAGAAAGAAACAGCACTTTCTCCTTCGGGTCCAGAACTTGATGAACGACCGAACGTCGGGTCCATCACCTAATAGTAAGCTACCACAGTGAGGAATTTGCGAACAAATTTTGGCCACAGGCCACCATATTGATCTGACCTCAGTACTCATTTCATTCAGCCATCAAAACTCCAAGAGGCCGTTCCAATCAATCACCTCAAGCCTTTGGTGTGTGCCTAAAATAAAATCGATGTTTTCCTCAGGTTACCTTGGAATTACCACGTATGTTGCATCCCTTTAATGATCAATTAATCTGTATCCAAGTAACCAACTCCCTTTTGTAGGTCCCCTGTCAATCATTAAATCAATAATTTCAGTACGGCGACGATAATCAGTGTTTAGGCATTTCATAGAAGCACGGTGGATAATGATCGGTGTTCACCAAACACCGATCAGACAGCCTGGGTCAACTTCGAAAAGTGCCCTTTGTACTCGTTTGTTCGCAAAAAAGCTGTTGTGTTCCCTGGTGGCAAGTCTTTTTGGGAAATTAAGGCACTGGAGTGGGAACAAAAGCTTCTGACAGCAGATTTGAAGCAGATACAACAGTAAGCTACAGGTAGCTTGAGGTGATGCACCTACCAGCATTCGTCTTGTAACCGCGTTGCTTGAATTACTGAAGGTATTCATTTTTGTTTCAAACGACTGACAAATTTTGCTCGTGGTTTTTGCGATTAAGTCAGGTTCCAATAGCTCTGTAACTTGAGTTGTTTGGTTAGCGATGGTCTGGAATCCGCTACGTGATTCGACCGTCACATGTTCTATATACTATACTATACTATACTATACTATACTATACTATACTATACTATACTATACTATACTATACTATACTATACTATACTATACTATACTATACTATACTATACTATACTATACTATACTATACTATACTATACTATACTATACTATACTATACTATACTATACTATTCTAGCCAGTCGCCATACCCGGCGTAAGCCCGATCGAACAGGAGGATCTTCACATTGGCCAACTGGTGACCCATAAATAATAAATCAATTGAGAAGAAATACCCAGTTGAAACCCATAGTGTATGTGCAACATTCGCAAGATCCAGCACACGCACATGGCTGGTTATCGCTAGCTAGACTGTACAATCGTGTCTAGTGACTCGTCACGCCTCAATAAGATTGACATTTCTGAACATCGATCAATTTTGGGTCTACACATGTAATTCGCGGAAAAATACAGTAGATAATATATAGCATGGTTCAATTCGGTAAAATAACCGGATGTGACCCTTAGCCTACCTTGAACACAGTGTGACACAACAGGTCATACATAGTCTTATCTCGTCGCTTGACCTACCTGATCCGTGGTCACGTGACGCTATGCCAATTGTCAGCATAACCCGTTTGTCCGGTCATCGATCTTGGTACGGACGGGACAATACAAAGTGCCTGCTCCTCAAACGACGAAGCAATAATTGCTCACGGTCAAAAAGCGGACTTTTGTTTACCGAAGTTCAACTTCTGATTTTATCAGTTGAAAACAGTAAGTCTCAATCAATAACACCTTAGTAGATGCATGTCTTTCAGTAAGTTATAGCATAACAAACTGTTTCGTGTGACACGAGCTTTTAAAGATGAATGTATTTGCATTAAATCCGTTTTCCAGGCTTTCACATCGACGAATCCATGTGAGGCCTCTCCGGGTAAAAAACTGAGGTACTCAAAAGGCTTCGCTGCCTAGGATAGACCGCATGAAGTTCACTCTTCCTACTGCTCGAATCGGTGAGTTGGCACAAACAATCTTTCCGGCTTGATTAGTAAAATATAGGCCAAAAAAACAATCGGAATAAAATCTGCAGTGGAAGGGGGTGCAATGAAAACCAACCCAATGCCAACTGCTACATTATTACGCCTTCTCCCAGTGAAATAAGTCCAAAATCTACATTACTCTCTACCTCTTGGTCACGCCAAGTTACCCAACCCCAGACGTCATTATTTCAGTCCAGATTTCTGTCATCAACGAGCAGCCGTGGCATTGGTAGGTTGGCTAGACGATCACGTGATATATTATTGATTTACCAGAAATGTCGTAAAATTAAATCACCGAATAACGATGAGATAAACACAAGGTGGCATGGAAAACTGGGATGAGGTTGTAAGGTTTTATATACATGTAGTGCGTAAAAATCTCGTGACAATTTTCGAAGATGTTGAATACTTGGTTTTTTACTCACTGTCCAGCATTGATTAATTCCGAAAAAAAACATGTACTTACGTTTACGTGGAAGTTTCCATCAAACCAGGAAATCTCGGTAATGTCCTACACACCAAGAAGATCGATCGGCTCCTACTGACATACGTTTATATCTCTCAAGATATATTTTCTACTTGAACTTTGGATACTACTGTTCGAATTCCTAGTGAACTTGAGTCGTCTGAATGGCCTTGAAAAACAAGCCTACGGATTAGGAGTTAAAATTTCGATTAACTAACACAGACCTACCGACTGCAAAGGTCTGTCTATTTATATATATATTGGCTAAGGAAAAAACACTACCAGGTGACTTGCATTCATAGAAGAGTTTTCGAACAAGTTAGGTAAGTCATAACGACTCACCTTGTTAGGTAACCTCGATAATTGGAAGAACGTTGCCGATCCACTGCACCGTGTTGTTCCTGATCTAGGCTAGAAGATCGGTTGAGCATGAACGGTTCTGATGTATTGTGCCCGGTACTTGGCGCGCCAGCTTTTGATCCATCAAAAAATTGGGTTCTGATATCTGGTAAGCGTCTGAAAAGCGAAATGTTGGCGAGCACAACCAAATGAGATTCAAAGCACAAGAAATCGTATAGGCTGACTGAGTGGTGTACACCACCCCGATCTGCTCAAGCTTGCACCGCGCTGAGGCCTTACCTCAATATAAAGAATATAATCTAGTTGTCTTATTCGTGAATGTTTGTGGAGGAACATAAGGCTTGGCGTGTCGCTTTATACCAGGATTTGCCCAAGCAGTAAAACGTGAGTAGACCAGAGTCCCAACACAAGGTCAAATGCATCTCCGGACGTCGATCAATATGTCGTGTAGAGAGAAATTGGACCAGATGAGCGAGAAAACGAGACATTAATTATCCTGCTGGGTCCTAACCCGTCATAGTACTTCAATTCCTTTATATAGCCATTTGAACAAAAAAGAAATCCCCTTTAGATTTCTTGTGGTTTTCTAAAATCCACGATTGTTTTCGCTATACCTGGGGATCACCAGGCAGGTGTATTACCCAAGTTTCCAGCAACCTTCTTTCCTACATTCATTCCAATTTGTACGTAGGTACAAATCGCTACTCCAGTTGATGTATGTTCACAGAAGGCCCAACTGAATCTCGTTCGCGTCGAATTCAACAAAAACAACTGTTATTGTTCTGACCAATTCCTTTCACGTTGTAGTTTCTCGAGCACACGAAAGTAAATAGTAAGGTTCAATCAGTAATTACTAGAGCATAATATCCAAAACCTCATAAGTGGGCATTTCGTAGAAGTGGAATAAAGACACAGTAGTCTCCTCAAATAAGCATTAACTTTTAGCACTGAGTGATTGTGGCGGACTAAAAATCTCCGGTACACGATTCTCGCCAATGAGCGAGAATCCCTTTAAAAAACAAAACCTTACAGGAAGCATTTATTTCTCAGAGTAAAATGCGTTGTAAACGGTATCCAATTGTTTGGTGGAATCTCGCATCGATGCCACTCTACTGCTCGCAGTTGGGCGCTGCTGCAGTCGGAAAGTCTATCCCGCACGCGATTGGCTAAAAGATCGGACCGCCTGCTGATCCAGCATCAAGGCGGACTCTGATTGGCTCAATAGCCAATCGTGATTCAGTGCCTGCCGGTTGCCGATGTTGCGCCCAAAAGTTGTCAGAATTTCCAGGTTACCATCGCATACACCATATAGACGACGCCTTGTATGTGTTTTTGACCTAGTTTTGGGCGTTAACATAGGTTGTGCACCTTTGGTGGTTGTTTCTGACGGGAACACCACCTTCGGAGGTTCAGACCGAGAACTAAGCTGAGGAAAATACGTCATTACGCCAAGTTTGATCGTTTGATAGTAGTGAAGTGGATATTCGCAACGTTTATTCTAGACGCGTTCAAACAAACCTGTAGGGGACCACTACCGAGAAGCCCGAACGGCCTAACAACGGGGTCCAGGGGCCTGGCCAGTTGGTATTGATTTAAAGAGCCGAAGTAGCCACAAAAATCAATTGCAGGTGGTTTGCTTGTGGCTAAAGATTCGTCCACCATCACATGAACAACAAAAGGCTGTTAAGTTTCACGAAGGGAAGTTCGCTTAGCTTGTACTAAAATACTCACTTGAATGGGGAGCTGGGTGTATTATTGTCCTCCGAATTACGCACAAACGTTATAAATTCGGAGGTGACCGTGTTGGTGAACGGTACATTCCCCACCGGGTAACTGCAATTCGAATGAGGACTGGGGGCGGCCACAGCGCTGGTCAAGTGGATATGTGTGTGGGTCTGTCCAACGACGCGCTCATGTCACTGAACCACTTCGCCTGTGCACTCACTGATGTGAACCAGAGAACTGAATGAGAATCTACCATGTTACCTAACCGAAGGTACAGCTTACTGGCTGATTTTCAGTAGAGTCGGACAAGTATTCAGGATGTCGGAGACTACATCAGACCAATGCTACATGATATTGTGGAAGATGCGTGAAATCAAACTTTCTGGTTCAAACTGGTCAGGAAGTTTTTGAGAAATACACTCATTTGTAAATCAATTTGATTTTCACGAGAGGTTCAGTTGAGTCCCTCGTGAGAATCAAATTGATTTGCAAATGAGTGTATTTATCGAAAACAGTCCAATTTTTTGGTTCAAGTAGAACATAAGGTTGACGGAAGCTCGAAGACTGTGCCTATTTGATGAGCCCCAAAAGAAGGGTGAAACCGGTCGTGGGCTGTCGAGGAGTTTTCAGCAACCTTGTGAGTAGTTTCTTTTACGGTTGTTCAGTGGCTCACTAGTGAACTAGCATTTCAAAGTCCCCCGACATACAATAAAGTGCAAACAAGTAATCGCAAATGATATTCCTTGTTGCAGAAAGACTTCCGGTTCAGAGTTTTGTTCAGAAATGAAATCTCGCTTGCTTTTTCTAAAAACGACTTGCCTCTGCCCATCCGATTTCATTGGTTCCGATCGACTTGGGCCGCCCGCCTGTTGCCCAGTGATGAAGCCGACGATGCCACCAATAAGCCGACCAGCGGCTTTATCGTCCTTGAACGGACCGTTATTGCTAGTCGTATTGCCTAAATTTGATTGTTGCTGTTGACTGGAAGGTTGATCCGCGCACGGTTTGCAAGTCCACTGGACCTAATTCGGCAGAGAATCGAACAACAGATATCATAGGAATGAACAAACTTCAAGAAATAGGATACTCAGTGAGTTTGATTAAGTGTCAACTAAGAAAGATATTGGCTCCAGTATCTAGACCGAGTAAGGAATGGATTGGCACAGTAGTCATTCCATATAAAGCAGGAACATCGGAGGTTATTCGAAGATTGTTGAACTTAGCCAACATTCGAGTAACCTTTCAGAAGGGAAAAACGCTACGTTCAGTTTTGGTGCAATTGAAAGATCCTCTGCCGGCTGAAAGGACTAGGGACTGTGTGTATATTAACTGCAATGATTGCGCTAAGGTTTATATAGGGCAAACTGCCAGGGAATTGCACACCAGAATTGGTGAGCATAACAGAAGGGTAAACAAACCACCAAGGAATGCAGAAGAATACCAAACGCTGGTCAAGGACTCAGCGATGGCGGTACATGCCTTAGACGCGGGACATAGAATAGATCTGGAGAATGTGGAAGTTTTAGACGGGGACTGCTATTCACACCACAGCGGCTGATAGCCGAAGCGGTGGAAATTACTAATCATCACAGCGTGAATAGGATCGAGAGTGCGGAACTGGCGAGCGTATGGAAAGCGGTCTTAGATAAGCCGAGTTGACAAGTGACGGTGGTTGTCCATCCATGTAGAATCATCAGAAAAAACCGGGGGGTGGAAACCCCAACCGACCGAAGGTCACAGCATCCCTCTTACACAACTTTCTTAGCACTAGCTCATTCACACAGACGGACAGAAGGTTAAAACGACGTTCAAGAGGGACCATCAAAGAACCGAACCAGAAGAACTAGACCCTAGGCTGGATCCAAACACATGTTTCCCACCGACCCAATACTTGTTCAACCACTCTAACACACTAAAATCCCTTGGCCGACACCCAACAGAGATTTAGCTTGACTTAGCTGATTGGTTCTCCTTCCGCCTTAAATCTCCACCAATCTCGGAACGTAGTCACTTGGTCTGACGAAGCTTTTGTGTCAAAAGCGAAACGTTGCCCAGCAATAGATCTACCGATTGTCACCAAACTCTTTCGAAAATAATTTGGATTCTTTTCTAGTTTCGCTCACCAGCAGGGTCATTCTCGACGCCCTTGTTCTTGTAGACATATTGGGTTTATCATCTTTCCTTATGGTGAGGTTCTTTTACCGGAAATTCCTGTAAATGAAGATGATGTGTGTCCATGACCGGTCGAACTGAGCGTGAAAATTTGTGCTCATCAACCGAGTTAGTGGATCTTTGGCAAGTGTGTTGGCATTCTCCTGGTTTTCCAAACTTGTAATTGTAAAAATCACCAATGAAATTCGGAAACTTCACATACTGCTCACTTTACCGCTTGATTAGGTCTAGACGAAGTGAATTGGTTGGTCTTTTTAGACTTATTTGGCTGCAAGCAAATAATTTCACTGAAAAAAGAGACTTGTCACTTCCTCCAGGGGTTGCCCAAGCATACAGTCAATTTTGCTTTGGTATGGATGCCAAACCAAATAGGCGTAAATTCGGACATGTTTCATGGGAGAAAAACTAAAATGAACGCAAGAATCACTACTCCATCACCATATTTTCACTAGTATTGCGTTGTATTACGAATTTTCCTTTCATTAATCGTTTATTTATCCTAGAAAACATCCACATTCAAATGTTTGTTTCTTAGCCTTTCAATTGATTTCATTCATCCTTTTGAAACTAATTTTCTGTTGAGATAATCCACAAAGGCTGTTTCTCAGTTAAACACGTATAAGTGGGACTCCTCATTGGTCTAGAGCTGTAGCACCTGCGGAGGTAGTGAGAGGTAAATTTTTGTTTTATGTGCCTTGTTAATACAGTGTACTACCTCACCTACACTGATCATGCCAGTGACTAACCTTATCAAATGACTCAGTTACCTTCCGCAACAAAACTTTGATCCCCTCCCTACTACTTACAACACTACTGAAGGGATGCAAATCAATGTGCCATAGATGTTTAAAAGTTGCGCCTTTCGGTTGACTTGTGGCTTGTGTTTGTGTATCAGGTTTTGCTAACCTTATTGATAACCGCATACAACGAAGTCCCCAGTCGGTTGTGCCGGTTTTCTCTCAAAACCAGTCAGACTGTTGGGCAGTTCACCGGTGCATACAGTGGTGGCGAACGGAGATGGTTGAACAGACTTTGTTGGACTTGATATGACTACTGGGAATGATGATAACTGCAGTAGTTATGTACGGAACGGCACTAGAATATGCTGACAAGAGAGAAGGATAAGGACCAGCAGACGGACCCCGTTTCACCGAAGGCCCGAATCTCCAGCGATAAATTCAGGTTGAGACCTGAAATCATAAAAGTCTAGATATTCGGATTACAGGGGACCATATCAACGACAGTTAGTTCCGGATATCTGCCAGATAGTCACTTTACTCATAGTGACATGCTGGTATTTCTGTGTACGAATTCGAGGCGCCTAGATTTTCGAACCGAAGGCTTTGGTTGAGGACCTTAACCCTTATCCTGTCTAGGCTTGAGTATCCTGGGGGTATTCCGGCCCATGAAATGCACACTCACAAATGACATCTTGTCGAAATGTCATTGTGATCAAACACCAGCAAATGATCTCTTGTCACATCGTCTTACTCGCCGCATACAATCGGGCGGATAAGTTAAAAACAGACTACTGCTGACGTCTTCCCCCTTTTTCTTCCACATCAGTTTTTCTACTGCCCCAGCGACATCACTGTAGGTTCATTCTGAAGAATCTGTTTACTCGATGAGGACACTAGTACCTAACTGCCGTACAACTACGTCACCATATTTGAATAAAGCCTTGTAATGCGAAAAAAATGGTAAGGGAAGGAGAACTAAGGCCTACACCTCAAACACTCAATCAAACAGCCTGGATAGAAACTGACAGCATCAACGCAACTGATATCGATTATTAGCCATCTCGTTCAGTGTCTCCAGCCAAGGACACGGAGTATCATCCTGGAAAGCACCCAAACTTCTCGTAGCGTACTTCATCCTCACAGACACCCATGCATCTCTGATTCGTTGTATCACAAAGTGTGAGGACTGATCGGTCACTTGAAGCCAGGGCAAGTAGCCATTGAATATGGGCGTGCTGGATGCAGTAAGTCCGTTGTGACGTGTGACGTCAATTCACATTTTAGACGAAAGGAGAGAACTCATAGAGAATCGGAATAATCGGAGCGCAATAAGCGTTACCCACTCATAACTCGCGGGTCTCTCCCCAATCCACCCTTCAAAACTATTGAATCTGAGAATAAACTGTTGAGAAACTCGTGCATCAAAGCAGTTTTGCTTATGTGTGTTTGTTTCAGCACACAACACACTCAAACTTTGACCGGAGGACTAATTCTCTAGGATCTCGTGTAAGTTCTTGCTCTACCTTACCTCGAAAGGAGACGACGCGGCATTCGTGGCGTCACCGATTTGACTAATGTCATCGCGTGTGGAGCAGACAATAAAATCAAGTTTAGTTCCTCCACCAGCTCCCACAGATGTCACGAATTTTCTCCTTGAATAGATATTGAAATCAACAGTGCACGCAGCAACTGCAAGTGAAAATCACCTGGTTGGACAGTCAAACGCAAATGATCTCTTGTCACATCGTCTTACTCGCCGCATACAATCGGGCGGATAAGTTAAAAACAGACTACTGCTGACGTCTTCCCCCTTATTCTTCAGAATCCGTTTTTCTATTGCCCCCGCGACATCACTGTAGGTTCATTCTGAGGAATCTGTTTACTCGATGAAGACACTAGTACCTAACTACCGTACAACTACGTCACCATATTTGAATAAAGCCTTGTAATGCGAAAAAAATGGTAAGGGAAGGAGAACTAAGGCCTACACCTCAAACACTCAATCAAACAGCCTGGATAGAAACTGACAGCATCAACGCAACTGATATCGATTATTAGCCATCTCGTTCAGTGTCTCCAGCCAAGGACACGGAGTATCATCCTGGAAAGCACCCAAACTTCTCGTAGCGTACTTCATCCTCACAGACACCCATGCATCTCTGATTCGTTGTATCACAAAGTGTGAGGACTGATCGGTCACTTGAAGCCAGGGCAAGTAGCCATTGAATATGGGCGTGCTGGATGCAGTAAGTCCGTTGTGACGTGTGACGTCAATTCACATTTTAGACGAAAGGAGAGAACTCATAGAGAATCGGAATAATCGGAGCGCAATAAGCGTTACCCACTCATAACTCGCGGGTCTCTCCCCAATCCACCCTTCAAAACTATTGAATCTGAGAATAAACTGTTGAGAAACTCGTGCATCAAAGCAGTTTTGCTTATGTGTGTTTGTTTCAGCACACAACGCACTCAAACTTTGATCGGAGGACTAATTCTCTAGGATCTCGTGTAAGTTCTTGCTCTACCTTACCTCGAAAGGAGACGACGCGGCATTCGTGGCGTCACCGATTTGACTAATGTCATCGCGTGTGGAGCAGACAACAAAATCAAGTTTAGTTCCTCCACCAGCTCCCACAGATGTCACGAATTTTCTCCTTGAATAGATATTGAAATCAACAGTGCACGCAGCAACTGCAAGTGAAAATCACCTGGTTGGACAGTCAAACATTGTGATTCTTATACATACTGGACATGTTGTAAAATCGTTCCACGAAAAAAACTCTTCTCATGACTTCCACTTGGTTAAAGAAATGTTGTCCATCGCGGGGGGGGGGCAGAAGACAACCTATTGTTCCGTTGACCTTACACAGTGAGTAGCAAGTAGCGAAATACACTCATTGTCAAACTAATTTGGTTTTTCGAGAGACTCATCTGGGACCCAGGTGAATCTCCCGTTTGTGATGATGGCCATGGGCTTTCGACGAATTTTCAGCAACCTTATGAGTAATATATTACAAAACACGTATCGTGACCACTCGAGTATTGCATATTTGAACGTGATTTTCATAAATTTAGCGGACGGTGGTAGAAAATAGGCCAACCTCGAGGCGAGTATGTACTTTTGGATGAACCGAATTATCACCTGCGCACTGGAGCGGATATGAGGAAACGGAAAGTGTTGTTTCCGCTTTTTCTTTCCCCTCACTATAAGCAAGGTCATGTTAAGGTCATGTCCTTTTTGCATTCTTTTACGCTCGTTAACAATGGTTCCTGTCAGAGAATTGAGACTGGAGAGAGTGAAATATTCTTCGTGACCTATGTTCTTGTTTGATCATTCGTTGAATGCAACCCAAGACATCGAATAGTCGTTTCACCATGGGAGGAATTTCGCGACAGATTCTGTTGTGACTACTAGAAGTACAAAATTCCTTTGCTAATAACATGAGGTCAGACAATTTATGAGCAACATTCTCAATGAACAGAATTTGTTTTTGGTTCGGAGAGATTAACTTACAAAGAGAAGGGCGTGTTTCAACTTTCCGTGCTGTGCCATAAAGACGATGCAGCAGAGATGAGCGAGAAAATTGATGGTGCTCTGGTGTGTTCTACCGTCGGTTGACGCTTGGTTATTTTGTAAAGTCATTGGGTTAAAAAGAGGATAAGATGTTGCCAAAATTGTTACGCCGTATAGTCGAACATCGAGNAGCAGAAGACAACCTATTGTTCCGTTGACCTTACACAGTGAGTAGCAAGTAGCGAAATACACTCATTGTCAAACTAATTTGGTTTTTCGAGAGACTCATCTGGGACCCAGGTGAATCTCCCGTTTGTGATGATGGCCATGGGCTTTCGACGAATTTTCAGCAACCTTATGAGTAATATATTACAAAACACGTATCGTGACCACTCGAGTATTGCATATTTGAACGTGATTTTCATAAATTTAGCGGACGGTGGTAGAAAATAGGCCAACCTCGAGGCGAGTATGTACTTTTGGATGAACCGAATTATCACCTGCGCACTGGAGCGGATATGAGGAAACGGAAAGTGTTGTTTCCGCTTTTTCTTTCCCTTCACTATAAGCAAGGTCATGTTAAGGTCATGTCCTTTTTGCATTCTTTTACGCTCGTTAACAATGGTTCCTGTCAGAGAATTGAGACTGGAGAGAGTGAAATATTCTTCGTGACCTATGTTCTTGTTTGATCATTCGTTGAATGCAACCCAAGACATCGAATAGTCGTTTCACCATGGGAGGAATTTCGCGACAGATTCTGTTGTGACTACTAGAAGTACAAAATTCCTTTGCTAATAACATGAGGTCAGACAATTTATGAGCAACATTCTCAATGAACAGAATTTGTTTTTGGTTCGGAGAGATTAACTTACAAAGAGAAGGGCGTGTTTCAACTTTCCGTGCTGTGCCATAAAGACGATGCAGCAGAGATGAGCGAGAAAATTGATGGTGCTCTGGTGTGTTCTACCGTCGGTTGACGCTTGGTTATTTTGTAAAGTCATTGGGTTAAAAAGAGGATAAGATGTTGCCAAAATTGTTACGCCGTATAGTCGAACATCGAGAGACTATCCCCAGGCTAGACTGCTTTTGATTGTTTCTGGATGAGATTCTCTCAGAAAAGGCCATCTTTTCGGTCCCTTCAACTGATAACTTCAGAGGGAAACATACACATCGAGTGGCGTTGTAATTCCACTACTCCACCGAGATACGAAGGTGGAAAGTCTCTGGCGAAGGTATATTATCTGTCAGGTACACTAGTAACGAACCGTGACACAAAATTCGAATTTTACGAGTAGAATGCAAGCTCGTAGTTGCAGTTAGGTGACTTCTCCGATTGAGTACGAAGGCAGATAGAAAACAGAAAAACTGAATCACCATCATCATCATCATCGACATCATCATC